TTGGAGTTTGAATGTACTCCTGGGGAATGTTATTCCACTTCTCTGAAACACAACAGGAAGTTCATTTTGAAACGCAGGTGGTCTTTCACGACTTCTCACACGTCTCAAATATGCTCAATAGGATTTGAATCCGGGAAGCTTGCTTGATCGTCTCATATGACGCATACGTAAAGAAATCAATGTTTTATTCCATAATTCATAAATTCAATACGATTCTTGATATCAAAATAGGTGGGGAATGCATCAGGCTGGCATACAGAATGGTTTTGAGTGTCATCGAAAAACTATATTTCACCGTAAGATGTCTTGAACATATATGATGGTAACATAAGTTTGTTTTCCCTCGTATAGTGTCCATAAATTGGGCCTCGTTAGGAAATGTGTTCATTGTGAATAAGTCTGAGATTAATTTCTGGAAAAATTATCAAAATCGTTGAGAAGTTTTGTTATGACACCTAATAAGATTGTATGTTTTAATGTTTCCAATGAGTACTTCATTTCTTATTTCAAACAGCAAAAATGAAAAATAATTGAAATCGAATATACTCTTGAGGACTTGCATGTTTTTGATACTTATTGACGCGACTATTTTACGAATATTTACTGAGATGCTGAGTGATGCACATTGTTCGCACAAGGAATGATGCGACCTTTTCTGATTCACACTCGTGTTCTTCAAGATACGTATTCGTGAGGGCGAAAGTAGGTCGATTGGATGTGATGTCTGCCGAGGAGTTGGAAGTTATTGAAGGTTTAATCCTTTGAGTCTTGGCCGTCATGCTGAGGTGAGTGGTGAGAAAAACAGGGATGTGGGAGAAGCACTTGCTTTACTGTTTTGAATAGCCAGATTTTGGTGTTTAAGAATGGAAAGAAGGATGAAAAATAATCACAGTGTTACGTTATTTTCCATATTTTAGATCCTTCTCAATATTGGTGACACCAGATATTTCCTTTTTTCATTTATTCTTGTCATTGAATAAAGTCCTGAAAGTAATCGCGGTTTTCAATTCGTTCCTACTGAACGTTTTTTTTTTACCTATTAGTAACTTCTCTGGAGAAACATACATTCCATAGCTGACGTTCTGACAGACGAGGATATCCACCTACGTTTGCGAGGATGACATACTTAGAATTGGTGGATGCCCTCTGTGTATACAGGGCTTTTCATGATGAGCGTTAATTAGCCGTTTCTGACAAACAATTTACCAGATCAACCTGAAAATTTCACAGTATGCATAAATCAATATGACCTAAACGCCTAAAATATTTCAGACGAAGCGGCGTTGTCGCTTCTACTATAAAGTAGCGGCTTCTTTGATTTTTCAAATGGAACACCCCGTATATAATATCATATTATGATTCATTATCACTTTGTCAACAAGTTCATATACTATTTCCCTATACCTATCAAAACCAGATATTGCCTGTCACATAAAATGTGGGACACCCGGTATACACAAAAGACGATCACTTTTTTACACTCAACTGAGTTGTTTATAACTTTTGAACTATCTGTTTTGAAGACACATGTGTTTTGAGGAATCATGCATTGTTCAACATCTCATATCCCATATTTTCCATTTAACTAAAAATCTGTATTTGTTTTAAAATTATGGATTACCAGTAAAAGTCATGTGGTTGAAGAACAAAGAGAGAGACAACAAAAAATGACATTGACAACTGTCATGTGATTTAGTTCGAAAAAAGTGTGTTTGTTTGTCTATGTTAAAACCATTGAACAAATCGGAACTGCTATGGTGCAACTGTGATCAGAGACATCTGTTGTTCTAGTATGAGCAATTTGATATTGGGTTTTCTCATTGATCACGGACAGGGTATCATTGGACCATTTTCACATTTGCCATCCTCTAGTGATGTCTTGACTCTGGACCCATATACATATATGGATTGTGGAGAAAAACAATAACAATATCAACTGATCAAGTCAATATTCATATTCCGTTTCGGATTTTATCAATTTTTTATATGTGATATGCCATGAAGTGAACACTTTCGTGAATGGTTTAACAAAACTCAACTTTGGTTGAATATACGCTCTTCCTATTCTGCAAAAAAAAAAGAATTTCACGCATGTATCTTTCATAAAGGTCTGTGTTTCCCGTGGGTTGGGCTATGTATCGGGCACGTCCCCAGGTGGCGGATATGGAAACGGTCAGGGAACTGGAATGGACTGGACTTCCCTGTCCGGGAAGCCAATATGGCCTTACGAACGGGGACGCTGGACTCCTGGTCAGTTGCAGAAATAAGTAGGGTGAGGGGAACTAAAACACCCCAAAAGCCTTTGCAAAATTTGCCACCGTGGACCAGCCTACCCAAGCTAAGGTGTAAGGAATCGTGCCGACTGCTAAATGGCCGCAGGGTGATAGGCATTTACGAATGATCCTCTTGGGGAACTGAGCGAAACCTCATTGTAATCAGCCTACCTCTGGTAATGGGGGGCTCTGCCAGAGGTGACCAACTCTTCCCTTGCTACTCGTGGAAACACACATGAATGAAACAAACACAAAAACAGAAAAAACAAAAACAAAAACCAATCCCGAGGCTGGACAAAAGTGCTCACCCCAATCTAAGGCAGTGGCTGGGGATGAACAGAAATTTTCGCCCCAATCTACCGCTTGAAATGAGGCTGAAAGGGGGCAGGAGTGGCAGAAACCATAAGTGCACCCTCCTCCTCCTCCACTCCAGCTCCAACAGCTAGGGCACTTCCGGCGGCGGGCGCCAAGAGCTGCGCCTCGAATAAAGGCAAGAAACCGGCTGCCCCTGCAGGAAAGCTCCCTCACTTGTGCAACTCCACGGAGGGAACCCCAAGAAGGTTGAAAAATCCGCCCAACTACAGTAATGTCGCTGCACCTTCCAAAATCTTCGCGGAGGCCACCTTGAGACACCTCAAGGTTGCCAAAGAGAGTGTGTGTTCGGCGAGTCTTGGCCTACACCTGCCTACACCAGAGACCTGCCCACCTCCCTGGAAAGGGCAGGATAGACGATGACCTAGGAGGACAACTCCTTGGGAGGATATACAATGGGTCACATGTGGCCTGAGTGCTGTGGGTCTACACTCACTCTTCCTACTCCAGGTACAGATACAGGTCTGTGTTTGATCGCTACGAACTCGGTTCTCAAATATTGAGTCACTCACTTAGTATAGATGCTTTTCTTGATGTTTGTATGACGTTCTCGTTCATACTCACAATCTCCATCACATTTTGCATGTACTTTTCGAGACGTAGATATTTGGACCCCAGAAATTGGGACACAAAAGAAACGTACCATGAAACATCATTATTAAAAAGAAAAATTAGAAACACTTAGTTTTTCGATAAAGTGACCACCGTATGCAAAGATATTAAACACACAATTGTGGATCAACTTTTCCAGACCCAGATCCACCACTAGGTTAGGTACAGAGTGAGTGGGTATATTCGATCCTTTACCGCAACCCGCAAAGGTTTATTGTGGCTCACACCTATTTACACTCAACCAAATAAAACCAGCTTCTCAACGAAGCCGATTAGTTTGTATGGTGAGTGGTCAGGTCAGGTCATCGTAGTTCATTCCTACCGTAGTCCAACAATCGTTTGGTATCAAGCTGGAAAGGGTGAATAAACACCTTGGAGTGAGCCAATCCTGGACCATTCTGCCAGAAGTCCATACATCCAGGTGTTCAATCTTTGTTTGGCAAAGCCTGAACCGGTACCAATGACAGGTTCTAGTCCGATGAAGCTGCTTGCAGCACCCAGATCAACCACTATCTTCTTCCCATCAATATGCCCACCCTAAATAATACTATACTAGAAAGTCAAATAGACATATCTAATACAAAATATTGGTAATGCGGTCGCTATTTCTATAACTGTTAAAAGACCAGACAGATGAAAATTTTATAGATTTCACATACACACCGTACCAAAAACAGAATGGAACAGACAAAACGCAATTGCTCGTCTCCTCATAAACTATTTATTTCAGAAACGTTTCAGAGATGAGACTAGCCATTAATCTAGATCTTTCCGATAAAATACCACAGTCTTAACGGAACATGATACCCAAGACCGAAGAAGCCTTAGCCATGATAACCGAGAAATGAATGGAAGACCCACTAACTTACTAACATATAAGAAAGAACATTGTATAACCAGCATTGATAAATTGTAAAAACTACAACCTACTAAGAACCTAGGATAATAGAAAAATTGTAAAACCTTAATCTATTTTATAATGAAATCGTCCTTGAAGAGAGGTGGGCCCCGATATTTTGTTACGGAGCAGATTGATGAATATTCCTATTGAAGAAACGGAGAAGAAGTATAGAACCTTCAGTAACTTTTTGAATCTTTGACTCTATGATATTTTTTCAAATCAAATCAAAATATCTGGGTGAAACTTATTCATTGTTTTATTGGAATCTTTATCGGCATGCCTTCTGTATAAGTGCCAATGAGTTGATCTATAGTGATGATTATGGAGAAAAAAGTATATTTTCATTATTTACTGAAGATGGCGTCCAAATGAGACCGGTCGATCAGGAGACCCATTTTCAATACTTTCAATTGAATTCCTATACAAATCGAATGTCAAACAACTTCCTTGCCATCTCAAACTCAAGAGCTGGTAATTCCCATCAAGGTAATACTACTAGTTCCGTAAGAAAATAAGAAAAAAGCAAAAATATTTCATAAATCTATTAAATGAGTTAATCAGACTTTCATGACTTCCGATAAATTATCTAGTTCAGAAGATTTCTATTCTGGAGTGGTTGTTCTTGAGTAGGATCAAGATTGGAAAAACACTAATGCATAATAAGTTGTATTATGCATGATGTGAAGGTCTTACAAAAATTATGCACACATTCAACTTTGCACAATGAGACACCGATCCAACCAAGATAATTCCGTTTATCAGAAAAATGCTTGGAATAATAATTTCATATCTCACGATAAATCTTCCCCATTTGCTTGAATCATCCCCTACGGTCGACTCACCTAAAGCGCTCCATACCCTCTGGTCCGTGGTATCATCCCATCTCGCCACAGACGTCGCTCTGATTTCCCCGTTCACCAGGTCGCAGAAAATGATGTATTCCCTAGGGATCTCGCTGCCTCCAACACACTCTGGACTCGGTCTCGTTAGGAAGGTCACGTTCACCCAGCTGGAAAGGAAAATGATGACTTTTAAATAGAGTTTGAGGCAATGTGGAAAAGGCTTATCGGTTTTATTTGTGTGTGGTGGGTTCCGAATGGGAGAAATGAGGGGTGACATCGGTTTAGAAAGGAAACGTAATATTATTATCGAATACCTGATCAAATAGAAGAAGAATTTTTTATTGAATAAGGATTCCCTACTACACAGGTTAGCTAACTTCAAATATAGTATAATCAACAAAATTTTTATAAATAATAGAACTTTATATAAGGTGAAGTAGGGTAAAAGTGATAACGGAGTAATTGTGATAACTCGCTATAATTCATATTCAAATTCATAATTGATGCTGTCATCTATCTTACAACTCTTCAAGCTTGTATACGAATAAGTACGACACTAGTCGAAACGATATTACGTGCAGGTGTAGTTGCAAATGGCGTTATAATTTCTGATTATCGTATTACCTAACTGTCAGATCGATAAGTGTTTTGAAATTTCCCCGAGAAACTATTGCTGATATGGTAAGTCCACACCGGTATATCTGGCATTATGTTCTTGAGTTATATTTTGTGTTTATGAATCATTTTGATGCAATAATCACGCATCTATATTATTTGGGCATATATCACATTTGCCCCTTGGAAAGTCCTTAGGTGGGAAAAATGTGACCAATTTGGGGTAATTGTGAGATATATAATACATTTACCCCGTTGTTCCAGATACATCAGGGTTCGAACATACATCAGGAATAAAGAAGAAGTCGATGAGGTTAAGCTACGTGTTCACCTCACTGACCATCAGGGTAACAAAGAAAGAAGCAGAGGGTACCTCTGAAGACCCTAGGTCCTTGGATGTCGAGCCACCTAAAGTGGATATTGACCCCAAAGCCACCATGGATCTCAGAAAGGAAGTCGAAGCATCTGAACAGATGGCAGTCGATGACCTGACGGAGGAGGCACATAACGAAATTAGTTAACTTCCTAACTATACTATTAAGAGGAGCTGTTGAAAAATAAGTTGCACTATATCATTCACTTGAACTAAACGAGTTCAACTAAACATTACATATAAAATAGGACTTTTTTTCAATTTCCTACTGAATTGTAGACCTGGAAATGAACACAAGCTTGTATACCCTCTATACTCATGTTGTGTCGTTCTGCAGGAATATTATTCACAAGTAAACTACTATGAATTTGAACTGAGATTAGGTTTAGGTACGTTAGCTCTATATTGTTTGTAGTTTCGACAGGCTAATTAGGAAGTCTCCTAGGCTTTATGAAAACGCCAAGATGAACGACGGTTCCTCCTAATTGAATTTTGGTCTAATAGATTGAGGTACATACTCCGGCTACGTTGTAATTAGTTGAATAAATTGAATTCAAGCAGGTATATATGATGAAACGGATCGTATGGATAGTTCAGTGGAAATGAATGTATGCGAAACTTCGTTGGTGGTGGTGGTTGGAAAATTGCGATTCCGTAGTTTAGTTTCAGTTTAGTAATTCGTGAACGAAAATGTGCAGTTAGGAATGTGTAGTTATGAGAAACAATGGCAAAGCCGTTAGGTGTACAAGAGTGTACATTGTGCTCATTTGGATGTGGTTGCCACATTTATTTTGTTAGTTATAAAGTTCACTCTACAACCACGAAACCTTTACAAATAAATCAGTTTTGGCGAATCGACGAATTTACCTGAAATGATGAAATGAAGTTTCAATGAAGTTCTGACAAAAATCGAATTTGTCTGTAGAGAAACTATTTTTTCCTGTTCAACAGTTATAAAAAATATAATTTTGAAGTGATAACGTTTTATAAGTGGGTAATCCGCTTCGTTACCTAACGCGTTACGGCACCAGTCTGTCCGGCTTCCCTTTCTCTCAAGCATACGTCAGCGGAAGGTAGGTTTCTCCTCTCTCGTGAGCTGAAAGCTCAGTGTTTCGTCATAAAATAGTGAGTAATGGGTCCAGTAGATATATAATGTTGACAGTATTTTGAAAATATAACCATCAAGCACGTAATAATCTTTTACTACATGAAACGTGGCTCAAAATGATAATACTAGTTTTATGTCGGGCGTTCTGTAACGCGTAGGTATCTCTGAAAAAGGTAAATTCAGAGCTTGACGTCCGTGACCCGCTGATCTTTGGCAGATGTGTTATCATTTCTATAACTCAATTTGAATGACCTCATACATGCGCAGTTAAGTGCAGGTAGCCAGGCTTCATGAATGTTGATTCTGCTTTCATTTATGGGAATAGTTTCTTTAATATTCAGGAAGCCGAGTACTCAGATTTCTCTTCATGGTGCCAATGTGAATTGATCCATAGCTATGAGGAATAGGATATATTCTCAGTGTTTCTGAAGGTCCTCTACCGTTCTTAGCTCAGGATCCCGTGGTCCTGTAGGTAGTGAAAATCGATCGTACGGCCCCGCGACTTGAACCGCGGATAAATAGATAAGTACTAAGTATTCTGATCATTCCCATATTGATTTCAATTGAAAAGTCACCAGTAGACAGCTGTTTCAACCTATTGGGCATCGTCAGTACCGGGCAGACGGTCCTTGATTGAAGACAAAATGTGAATAACCAAGAAAAGTACTTGATGAAAATGATAAATATATAGCGACTATACTACTGTATGGTCATGTGTAGTCGCAGTCAAAAGTTTTTCAATAAATTCATTTTTCATATTCATCATATTCATTCATATTCATCATATGAATATGTATATTCTGTATGTTTGGTGATCATTTAGCAAGTCTTGGATCTTTATTGCTTCGAAACTATTCGGTGGTGATACAATATATCGGGGATGAACTTCGTGTTTATAATATGTGCAATTCGGTAACCGCAGCAGAGCCGTAGCAATTCCAAATGTATTCTGGAATAAAAGATAGTTGCATTGCCCCGAATCCAGTGTATTACTCGAAACATCATGCGATAAATTGCTGCACCAAATCCTATCCAATTTTCTGTTCCAACGAATTATAGAATTGAAGCTATAAACAATGAAGCTATTGTATTTTGTAAACGTACCGGCTTTTTTGCAATTCTCTATAGCAGCAGATATTAATTCGCCAGATAGTTGGATATGATGTGGATCACAAATGTAATTGGAAAAATGGTAAGCTGCTTCTGGATAGCAGCGGCGTGCCTAAATTCTTCACTAGATTGTGTATTTCGTTTTTCAAAAAAAATGTTACATTTTTATATTGAAATAAGTGGCCTTTCATCAACATAAAAATTCAATTAATGATAAATACTCTGACCCATCACTTCAAAAAATAGCTACAAGAGAAAAAATCCAGGCTTCATTTTGGGAAATCGTCAAGATTTTTATGTGAAAATTGATCTTGAAAAAAAAATGTTGATCATCAAAAGTATTATTGAGAGGAAAATTACCATCTCATTCAACTATGAATGGAGTTGCCAATTTTTTACATTCCTCATTACTTATTGGCAATGAAAGGCTTATGGCTTTCTATTCCTCCAATTTTATTTGAAAAATGGGGATTACTTTCAAAGTTTTCCACGTTTTTTGCGTGAAGAAATAAAAAGCCTAAAATCTTTTTACCTCAAAAATTGACCTTTCCAAAAAATATATCCCTCAGAATTCGACATTTATATTCGATGTTTCAACATACTATTTTTGTTGCAGACACTGAATTGGGTGTAGCATAGTCGAATCGAAACACCGGGTTATACTTGTATTTTCACCGCTCAATTGAGGCTATGAATATCATGGCTATAAGATATTTTCTTACGAAATTTTCTGCTCCTTGAGGATTTTTTTTAATTTTGAATATCAGCAATAATTCTAGACATATACACAAAAAACGATCACTTTTTTTACACTCAACTGAGTTGTTCATAACTTATGAACTATTTGTTTTGAAGACACATGTGTTCTGAGAAATCATGCATTGTACAACATCTCATTTCCTATATTTTCCATTTAACTGAAAATCTGTATTTGTTTTAAAATTATGGATTACCAGTAAAAGTCATGTGGTTGAAGAACAAAGAGAGAGACAACAAAAAATGATATTGACAACTGTCATATGATTCAGTTCGAAATAAGTGTGTTTGTTTGTCTATGTTAAAACTATTGAACAAATCGGAACTGCTATGGTGCATCTGTGATCAGAGACATCTGTTGTCTTAGTATGAGCAATTTGATATTGGGTTTTCTCATTGATCACGGACAGGGTATGATAGGTTGTTTTTTCGAGTTTCATTCCGTGTTCTGTGTTTTTGATCCTCTAAAGGACCATTTTCACATTTGCCATCCTCTAGTAAGGTCTTGACTCTGGACCCATATACATATATGGATTGTTAAGAAAAACAATAACAATATTAACTGATGAAGTCAATATTCATATTTCGTTTCGGATTTTATCAATTTTTTATATGTGATATGCCATGAAGTGAACACTTTCGTGAATGGTTTAACAAAACTCAACTTTGGTTGAATATACGCTCTCCCTATTCTGCAAAAAGAAAAGAATTTCACGCATGTATCTTTCCTGAAGGGCTGTGTTTCCCGTGGCTATGTATCGGGCACGTCCCCAGGTGGTGGATAGGGAACCGGCCAGGGGACTGGACTGGACTGGACTGCACAAAAGTGCTCACCACAATCTAAGGCGGTGGCTGGAGATGAACAGAAATTTTCGCCCGAATCTATCGCTTGTAATGAGGCTGAGAGGAGGCACGAGTGGCAAAAACTATAAGTGCACCCTCCTCCTCCCCCACTCCAGCTCCAACAGCTAGGGCACTTCCGGCGGCGGGCGCCAAGAGCTACGCCTCGAATAAAGGCAAGAAACCGGCTGCCCCTGCAGGAAAGCTCCTTCACTTGTGCAACTCCACGGAGGGAACCCCAAGAAGGTTGAAAAATCCGCGCAACTACAGTAATGTCGCTGCACCTTCCAAAATCTTCGCGGAGGCCACCTTGAGACACCTCAAGGTTGCCAAACAGAGTGTGTGTTCGGCGAGTCTTGGCCTAAACCTACCAATATGAAGGAGATGTCTCCCAGAGACCTGCCCACCTCCCTGGAAAGGGCAGGGTGGACGATGACCTAGGAGGACAACTCCTCGGGAGGATATTCAATGGGTCACATGTGGCCTAAGTGCTGTGGGTCTACACTCACCCTCCCTACTCTAGGTACAGATACAGGTCTGTGTTTGATCGCTACGAACTCGGTTCTCAAATATTGAGTCACTCACTTCGTATAGATGCTTTTCTTGATGTTTGTATGACGTTCTCCTTCATACTCACAATCTCCATCACATTTTGCATGTACTTTTCGAGGCGTAGATATTTGGACCCCAGAAATTGGGACACAAAAGAAACGTACCATGAAACATCATTATTAAAAGAAAACAGGCGTTTTTTTCACGTATACAAGAAAATCTTGGCAGAGTCCGTTGTTTGATTCTCCTTGATAAATCCACTAAGTAAGTGTTCGCCTCGAATGAAATGTAACAGTAACATATGTAACATATTACATATGTCACCAATCTAACCTGACATTTTTCATGTTTTCAAAACCTCCTGAGAGTTAGACCTTGTTAGTTTTCTTTGAAATATTTCTCGGATACCTACCTTGGAAAATGAATGTTGAATCCATTAGTATTAGTATGTATTAGAAATAAGAGTCTCACCTGTAATCATTGGCTGGCGACCAGCTGCTGAGAGTCATGTCTCCTTTGTAAGTGTTCACTAAGTCGAAGTAGGCCACGAAGACGTCGCTCGGCGTCCCGACGGCATTCGTTTGGGCGACCGTAACGCCGCGGAAAACTATCTCGGACGAGGCGACGCTCCGTTCGATACTCACTTGTCGGCCGTTGAAGAATTGTTCTAGGTCACAGGAGGTTGTGAACGACACTAAAGACGCCACTATTAGGAGTGTCCCACTCGTGAAAAGGTTGCGGTTCATTTTTTAGTGTTTTCTAGCACTGATTTCACGCTGTCGCGGGCACAAGGACCGCAGCACTTGTTTTATTCAAGACAGGGTATTTGAGGGACATCTGCGAGTAGACTTTCAATAAGTTGCTGTGTTTAAACTCTCAGTAGTTACGCCAGTCTGTCAAACAGGGACTTACGATCTAGTCACAGTTTGGGCTTATGAATATTCGCCTAAAACTAAATTTGTCGAATTTCGGTGTTTCGCTTTACCGTCTCCATTCAAAATGACATGAAAAAGGCAGAAAAACTTCCAATAATGTTCCATATTTGTTAACAATCTGATATAAATCGATGTGCAATGCGATGTTTCATTTATTAGATTTCACCATCAACTTTACTCTTCGAAGAATGGATCTATAGTTTGATCTATAGATCTCCGTAGTCACTGTAATGAAAAATTCAACTGTTTTATAATACAGGTCCGTATTCAAAAAAATTAAGTTGATACAGATTGGTGTATATCATATTATAACATATATGAAATGGTATTGAAAGTTCCTCTGTTTTTTAGTGAGTTTTGACAATTACAGATTTCGGCGAATATTCCATAAACAACCACTGACATTCTTGATACGAAAAAAGATTATTCCACTTTCCCAAAAAGATAAACTTTTGTTCAATTCACCCGACTCTGTAGGGCTTACTGTTTTCGAGAAAACAATAATGGATCAGCTGGAAAAAACTGGCTTGTATACCTATAGAGTGCAAGACTATGATGAATGTGAAAAAATCATTTGATACCTTTTGAAAATTCATTTCCATCACGTAGGTGTAGGCAGTACACGTGAAAGTTTTGGAAACGTGAAAACAATAATTCAAATAGGGGGTATTTTGTCGAAAATTCTTGTATGGCTTTTATAAATTTAAATACGAGTTACGACTGAGATATTTTTCAACCTAACGCCTTGAGGACAGAAAAATTAGAAACACTTAGTTTTTCGATAAAGTGACCACCGTATGCAAAGATATTAAACACACAATTGTGGATCAACTTTTCCAGACCCAGATCAACCACTAGGTTAGGTACAGAGTGAGTGGGTATATTCGACCCTTTACCGCAACCCGCAAAGGTTTATTGTGGCTCACACCTATTCACACTCAACCAAATAAAACCAGCTTCTTAACGAAGCCGATTAGTTTGTATGGTGAGTGGTCAGGTCAGGTAGTAGTAGTACGGTTCTGTCGAACTCTGACTGTGACCTGTAAGAAGGCATGTTAGACATCGTAGTTCATTCCTACTGTAATCTAACAATCGTTTGGTATCAAGCTGGAAAGGGTGAATAAACACTTTGAAGTGAGCCAATCCTGGACCATTCTGCCAGAAGTCCATACATTTTCTTGCCATCCAGGTGTTCAATCTTTGTTTGGCAAAGCCTGAAGCGGTGCCAATGACAGGTTCTAGTCCGATGAAGCTGCTTGCAGCACCCAGATCAACCCCTATCTTCTCCCCATCAATATGCCCACCCTAAATAATACTATACTAGAAACTCAAATAGACATATCTAATACAAAATCTTGGTAATGCGGTCGCTATTTCTATAACTGTTAAAAGACCAGACAGATGAAAATTTTATAGATTTCACATACACACCGTACCAAAAACAAAATGGAACAGACAAAACGCAATTGCTCGTCTCCTCATAAACTATTTATTTCAGAAGACTAGCCATTAATCTAGATCTTTTCGATAAAAGACCACAGTCTTAACGAAACATTATACCCAAGACCGAAGAAGCCTTAGCCATGATAACCGAGAAATGAATGGAAGACCCACTAATTTACTAACATATAAGAAAGAACATTGTATAATCAGCATTGATAAATTGTAAAAACTACAACCTACTAAGAACCTGGGATAATAGAAAAATTGTAAAACCATAATTTATTTTATAATGAATTCGTCCTTGAAGAGGCCTAAGCCTGGACAGAGACCCCCACAAACACAAACAAAACTTTCACCAAACAGCTTATACACAAAATTGGTGAATAAACGTTTTCAATGTAGCTCCCCAGGCAGTCGTTGCCAATGCACCACTGAAAATGTATATCGTAGGAGCAGACGGAACGTTTGGTTCTATAGGGTCTTTCAATAGAGACGTCCAATCTTCAACAATTGTTGAAGCTGCATCTGTCATATTAGCTGTCATTTATTCAGTCCGTTTTGCCGAATCACCACGGACGGATATAGCATTCAACAGAACGTGCAAATATTGAAATTGTTTTATCAAAATGGGTGTATCGTTCGGGCAACGTACCGAGCGATTCTCCCATTTTTTGGTCCTTATAACCGTCCTACCGCGAGGACTATTCACAATATGGTATATGAATTTGAGTCCATTGGTTCAGTGAACGATCGATCGACACACGTACGTCGATTAAACGTAAGGTCTGCCAAAAACATCACCGCTGTCTGTGAGAGTGTACAGGAGAATCCGAGGCAGTCGATTTCACGTTGTTCACAAGAACTCGAGCATGGTCATCTCACGTGGAGGTACGATTTTACCCTGTTAGACTTTTTTTGTGGGGTTTTCCCAAGTTGCAACATAACCCATACCATCGGTCAAATTAAGGATGATTCATTCGCCAGAGTCATGGAAAATTAGACGTTTCGGATGAGCTCCACCCAGGGAAGCTGTGGCGAATATTTAAACGATTTACTACACATAATGACTTCAGTAGGCCTTTCAAACGAATAACAAATTTTGATGACGTCTCACACACTTTGTTTCATTCAAATTTGAAGATGAAAAGCAATTAATGGAAGACCCTATTCAAGTTCTTTTCGACTACCAGCTCTGTAACTCCGGCCATAAAAGCCTAAGAAGAAAACTCATTTTACTGTACGTTGCCTTACTAATGTTTTGAAACATATATTTCATTTTGAGCTTTTTATTTACGCCAGTCATATTGGATCTAAAATGGCGGCTTTCAATTCAGCGTGTACAGTTACAACAACAAAATATCTGTGTGAAATTTCAGGTCAAAAGGTTTTTAAGTTTGGTTCAAAATTCAGCTTCAAGATATGTTCCACACAAACATACTGACCTGTCGAGTCAAAAATTGAAGCTCGTGAAAAAATGGAAACATATTCACAAAATATTTTATTCCCAAATATAAACGTTTCGGATTGTAGTCTATCTGGATCACTACTCGCATCACACACCTGCCGTATCGACTCACAAATTTTCACTGAATTACTGTAGTTGGCATCAATTAACATAGATACAATTCATTAAAAATCTATTCACGTTTACAGTGTAATGAAATCGTCGTCGACCCTTTGCTGGGGCCGCGTCAAGGTGAACTGGTGTTTGATTTTAATAATGAGAGCCTTTAAACAATTTGACGAAATATGCGTCATCGCCTATTATTTTTATAAATATTTCATGCGAAATAGCAGGTAATGCTTGGCAAGATAAGAATGGGAAAGCATGTTTGCAGTTAAGTGGAAGATAAAGATATTTGTTTTATTTTCAGTCAATACAAAGTCATACAAAGCAATCTGTTGACGGCGTCCCAAAATTAAAAATATTCCTGTTTTCATTTCTATACATATTTCAACCGACTGTTTTCAAATAGTTCAGCAATTCTTTTTTTTTAATAATGCTACTCTGATCGCTACTCTCGTCTTTGCTCAAATTTTCCAGGGGACAGATATTAAGCAGAATAAAGGACCTTTCGGCGATTTATATTTATTACAATTTTTTTGGCAGTAGTTTTTACAAAATAGAGTGAAAACTATAATCGCGACGTCAGTAACATTGGATACATACTTGACAACACCGTAAAACTCATTCCTATTGCATAATTTAATTTATTTCTTCTTTTGTTTGCAGGTGGTTGACAATGTTTCGTGGTACATTCCGTTAGTTCGGACTTCGTAAAACTAATTCTGGTTGCTGAACATCCAAATTCTATCCCAACCAAAAGTGAAAGCTCTTGATTGATGAGCAGAAACTGTAAAAAATGGAAAAAATCCATATTCAAAGGTTCACATCTCGAAAACTGTACAATTCTGAGCTTTGGCTGTGGACACTTTCAACCAGCACATCAAGAACTACAACATATCAAAATTTCGGCAAAATTCAAGGCAAGCCATTTCTCATAAGTAATGTGCGGGGTCCTTTATCAAAATATTGAGGAAACATTTCACTATCCGAAACAAAATGAATCTTCATACTCATTGCAACACCGAAACAACTGTAAATTTTTAAATTTACACTCGGTGAACACTCGGTGAACAGGTAGAATTTAGATTATTTTACCTACTTGCTAAATTGTTGTTTGAAATCATTTGAAGGGATTGAATTACATCAGTTTCATTGAATCATGCGGTGCCCTGAAATCACCATGGAAAACAGTTGCTCATTGATATTTACTGTCAACCTGACAACATTGTTGAAAGATCTTGTTGTATTGACCCCCAGACCAGTTTTCATTGCATTTGTTGTTTCTAGTATTGTTGTTCTTTGAATCACAGTTGTTCCTGTTGTTTCTGCCGTGTTTTTGTTTCCATTGGGTTTATTTTTCCTGTATTTATGTTGGATATTGTTCCTGTGTTCCTGTTGTTTTCTGTTCGTGAGTTCCTGTTCATATTTTAATATTTCTGAAGTTCCCATTTTAACTGATATCAGCTCATTTTGATTGAAAAAGTTCAACATGGCACGTCTGTCACTTCAAGCAAAAATTTAAATTGTTTTAATTGTTGATGAAGGGGTGAGGTCTTATCGTGTACATCCTGGAACTGTACATGAAATATATAATCTCTTCGTAGCATCGGCCAAGTAACAAAGGACAGAAAAATTGTAAAACATCATATTGATGATGATACGATATTGGAGGCTCATCAAGCTGATCCTAGAATTAGTTTGAGAAACTTATCGCTTCAACTCAATATGAGCCGCAGTAAAATATGGCGGTGTTTAAAGAGGCATAAAATGCATGTGTTCAAACCCACATTTTTACATACTTTGCACGAAGGAGATGAAATCCGCCGTATGGAGTATTGTTGGTGGATGCAGGGAAATTATCTCAATGACAGGAATTTTTTAAAGTATATCTTATACAGTGATGAGGCTACCTCAGAACATAAGTTTTTGGGCTGAACAAAATCCAAATTAGGTGGTGAATTGTAGAGACCAAATATCTCAGAAAGTTAATGTGTGGTGTGGTATCCTGAACGAAAATACTATCGGGCCATTTTTTTTTCGATCAAAATTCAAACGGACGACTATTCGTTGATTTTCTCGAAAATGCATTTTCCGATGGATGTGAGACACAGCATGATTTTTCAGTTAGATGGTTAACCAGTTCACAATAGTAGCATAATAAGGGTTTGGTTAAATAGGAATCTACCTATAAAATGAATAGGACCCAATAGCCCTCTCATAGTATGGCCACCACGATCCCCAGATTCAACTTCACTGGATTTTTATTTATGAGGAAACTTAAAAAATAAAGTTTATAAGGATAGGCCAACAAATAAGGAAGATCTCCGTGCAATAATTATACAAGCGTGTAGAGAAATCATACCTAGAGAACTCAGAAGAGTTGGAGGAAATAATAGAAGGCGCATAGAAAAATGTTTTCGATTGGAGGGATATTTCGTAGAAGGCACGAAAATATAAAATTGTCCACAGTTAAATCATTTGAAATTGATTGTTTTGTTTTTTCATTGAAAATGAAGTAGTACTTCGAAAGAATTTTGAACTACATAACATTTTTCGCCACAAAATATCCTTGTTTTTTTTTTAAATAATGGAAAAATGAGAATATGAACTAACATTAGCCATCCTAAAACCTCACTGATTACATTTTTCCGTTCCTCTTACAAAATTACCATTTTCTCTCTTATTGAGAAAGAATAACTTTCCTGACAACAAAATAAAAAATAAATTATTTATGTGAAAACAAAAGTCAAGTTTCTCTTGAACAATTTCGTTCATGTTTTGATGTCAAAACCAAAAAAAAAATCTACTTCAATTATTACGGAAGATACAGGGGTGTTTCCATGAGAAGTGAAACAAATTCGGATTTTTCAGGTACTGAAATTTTTTCAGGAAAAAAGTGTAATCGTAGTAAGTTGGTAGTCCTGATCACGAATCTGAAGGAATTTTGAGCCTATTTTGCCACCCAATATGTTTTACCGTAAAAATGGGGTGTTCCATCGCGAGTGGCGGACAGTATATATTACTTTGGCCATCCCCATTCAGGTGGTAGATGCTTTTTGAGCATCGTTCCACCTCGAATATTACGGAAGATACGGGAATGTTTCCATGAGAAGTGAGACACACTGTATATTCAAACGGAGGCGATTCTTGAGACACCAATTTTGTAAAAGATCAATCTCCTTCTGCATAATGTTACAATCATCTAAACTGTTTATATATGTATACAGTTTCAAAACATCATCAAACATTAATTTATTGCAAGTTATTGAGTTGCACAGATCATTAATAAATAGTAAAAACAATAAGGGACCAATATTGGATCCTTGCGGGACTCCGCTGATTGCTAAATACACATATGAAGAAAAGCCGCGATAATATACGTATTGATTACGTCCGCTACGGTACGATTCCAAAAGTTGACAATAAATTTCATTGAAACCCATGCAAGGAAGTTTACAAATTAGTAACTTATGGCTGACCCTATCGAATACTTTAGAGAAGTCCGTGTATATCACATCTACTTGCCCCCTACGGTCTAACGATTCACATAAATATTGATCACAAACAGCTAAATAACTGATGGTAGATCTAGAGTTCACAAAACCATGTTGGAGATCAGATATTATATGTCGAGAGCATTGATAGATACGACTATACAGAATTGCTTCTAGAAGCTTGGCAAAGTCGTTTAGGATTAAAATAGGTCTATGATTATTGATTTCATTTCGATCTTGAGCTTTATGTATTGGACAAACCTTGGCAGTTTTCTAAAATTCAGGAAAAACTGACGTTTTCAAGATAAGATGAAAAAGAATTTGTAGGGGATAAACTAGTACTTTCAGACAGAATTTCAATAGAAATGACGGAATTTTGTCTGGACCTAAGGTCATCTTATTTTTTAATTTTCTTCCAGCTCCTAATATTTTTAACTCTGTTATTGGTTCAACAATAATATCTATTGAGCTATTAGGTTCGAAGTTGGAAACAACGTTTTCTTCATCAGCCTCAGGTGATAAATAGGTATTTTAAAAAAATATACTAAAAGCATTAACAATTAATTGTGGGTTGTTATAGGATTCACCCTCACAAACCATCTGGCCTGGAATTCTTGTACTATTATTTTTATTATGAACAAATGTCCAGAAGTTTTTTGGATTAACTAACAATTCGTTTTCAATACTGTTTATATACGATATATATATATACTTCTTTGACTTGTTTAATAATTTTTCCAGTTCTACAGAATTTTTGGTAATAACACATATTTTTTGTTGCTTTCTACTTTCTAAGTAATTTAGCTTTTTCTTCAATAAGTTTTATTATGTCACTCGTATACCAAACTGGATAAACATGTTTAAAAAAATTTGTGGGTGGAACATGAGCATTTAGAATTTCATAAAACTTATTGTAGAAACTATTCACACTAGTATTTACCTCAGATGAGTCATCAAAAATTTCCAATCCGTGTTCAAAAATTAATTACATTGTGACACGTAATCAGCTTTTCTGAAGTTGAATGATCTGTTATTCATATTTGTACTGAATGAATTTGTACAGCGATTCAAATCCAATGCGAATCGCTACTTTCGCACAAGCACCGCTTTGAGAGCGCCTTAAGGATTTTCCTGTATTGCTTGTGTTTTGTCCTCAAAAAAAAAAGATGAATAATATGGAAAACATCGTTAGATTATCAATTTCAAGTTCAAAACAGTATGACAAAGCTCCGATTCAAGGCTCTTCATTTGTAAAATTCAACTGATCACAAATATAATATTCCATTTTAATAATCTAGACGGGAACGCAATTCGCTTTAAAATTTCAAATATCCTTTCGAAGCGAACCTACGAGTATTTGGGTATGCAGATTACCAGGGAATTGCTCCAGACGGAGTAATTCCAGAATCTATTATCGCACATATGCGTTCGTGTAATGAAGAAGAGACAATTTACTGTCTGCGAAGCGAGGTACTTTGTCAATAACGGTTATATTGTGAAAATGCAAATTACTTCTCAAACACGTTGTCTGGGTGGCATAATAGATTTTAGTCCAAGTGAGTTGGAATATTTGTAATTTGTTCTATTGAATTTATTAATTTGTTGATATTTGAATATAATGCCTACAAGATCCGGCTCTGCACG